TTTTTTTTTTTTTTTTTGTCAGAAAAAAAAAATGTTTAGATTTGTTCAAACTGTTGGGAAGAGGCTGAAATTATAAGTATGTGGGTTTGTTTTGATCCTGTTTGTGACGGGTGGGTTGTTAATCTCAGGTGGCTTAAAGAAGAAGGCTTTCAAAAAGTAGTTGAGTCTACTTGATAATCTCAGGTGGAGTAGCTCTTCTAAAGTTACCAGGAAGATGCACGTGCTATGCACGTAATATTAATCATTTTTTCTTTACTTAAAATTGTTTTTATTATTAAATTTACATTTAATAGTATAATATAATTTTCATTCTATTAGTTAATAAAAATTTGTCTATTTTATAATAATAATCAATAATAAATGTATTAAATAATGAAATATAATATTTAATACTCTTTTACCAAAATGTGACATAAAATTAAATAAAAAATATTGGTTTTAAAATCCACAGTATTATTATTATTTTTTTTTTGTGAAATGTTAAATGCTAAAGAAATTTATGTCGTCTTTGATTTTGTTATCCAATGATAACTCATTATGCTTAAAAATAACGATCATTATCATTGTTATCATAATATAGTTTTTTAATGTCTTATTTTTGCGTTATGCTCTTTGAAAATAAGTCGAATATGTTATAACTATCATTTGTAGTTATAGTTTTTCTTATTGTTAATTGAAAACTAACCAACTATGTTTGATTGTTTCATTCTCGACTATTTTCAGCATAGTGGATGCTGATCAAGTTAATTCATTCATAATCAATCTTTTGTAAGTAAAATTACAACTTTATGTAATAAACAATCTAACTATTTTTTAGTTTAATCGATATTAAACCAAATAAATTTAACACATTATTTCACTGTGGGGTTTTAAATCCCTATAATAATTCAAATGGATTAAAGTTCATTTTTCAAATAACTATCTTAAAAGTGAGACTTGTTTCTTGAAAAAATTGAATTGTCAAAAATGTCATACGCTATAACTATCTTTAAAGTCATGATTATTTCAAAAATAAAATTTAATTGAAAAAGATTAGAAACGAATAAATGTACCCATTTCTCTATATATATTGTCCAAAATTGGTTGATTGAAGGTACTCATCTCATATGTTGTCGAACATAAATTATTGTTGCATCTCCTAACATTACCATGCATGCATTACTATTTTTTGTTCACGAATTTTCAAGACTATCCTAAATGTGACAAAATAAATAATTTCAATTTA